TGTCTACTGCCTCTGTGTACTGTAATATATACACAACACCTCACAGTATGTGTCTACTGCCTCTGTGTACTGTAATATATACACAACACCTTGCGGTACATGTCTACTGTCTCTGTGTACTGTAATATATACACAACACCTCACGGTACATGTCTACAGCCTTTGCGTACTGTGTTATATACACAACACCTCACGGTACATGTCTACTGCCTCTGTGTACTGTAATATATACACAACACCTCACAGCATGTGTCTACTGCCTCTGTGTACTGTAATATATACACAACCCCTCACAGTATGTGTCTACTGCCTCTGTATACTGTAATATATACACAACCCCTCACGGTACATGTCTACAGCCTTTGCATCTGTGTTATATACACAACACCTCACGGTACGTGTCTACTGCCTCTGGATACTGTAATATATACACAACACCTCACGGTACGTGTCTACTGCCTCTGCGTACTGTAATATATACACAACACCTCACGGTACATGTCTACAGCCTTTGCATACTGTGTTATATACACAACACCTCACGGTACGTGTCTACTGCCTTTGTATACTGTAATATATACACAACACCTCACGGTACGTGTCTACAGTAATATATGACAAGGAGTGTGATTGGCAGCCACTAGACTGATGACCAGGAGTGTGATTGACAGCAACTAGACTGATGACAAGAATTGTGCTTGACAGCCACTAGACTGAGGACAAGGAGGGTGATTGACAGCCACTAGGCTGATGACAAGGAGTGTGATTGACAGCCACTAGACTGATGACAAGAATTGTGATTGACAGCCACTAGACTGATGACAAGGAGTGTGATTGACAGCCACTAGACTGATGACAAGGGGTGTGATTGGCAGCCACTCGACTGATGACAAGGAGTGTGATTGACAGCCACTAGCCTGATGACAAGGAGTGTGATTGACAGCCACTAGACTGATGACAAGGGGTGTGATTGACAGCCACTCGACTGATGACAAGGAGTGTGATTGACAGTGGCCCTGTGTAAATTGCATTTGTTTGTCTTTCTTTCTCACTTCACACAGTACCTCATTCCGTATAATGTGGATGCCAGCTATTCCGTTGATTGCTGCGACCAGCTGCCGGTGAGACTCTTCACATTCCAACTGAGCCTTCTTGGTGAGGGATTCCAGTAGTTCCTCCATTGTCATAATGCTGTAAAAACAGCACAGGGTCATGACAAAGTACTAAAAAACAACACAGGGTCATGACAAAGTACTTAAAAACAACACAGGGTCATGACAAAGTACTTAAAAACAACACAGGGTCAGAACAATTACTCTAAAAATACACAGGGTCAGAACAACGTTCTATAAAAATACACAGGATCATGACAAAGTACTTAAAAACAACACAGGGTCATGACAAAGTACTTAAAAACAACACAGGGTCATGACAAAGTACTTAAAAACAACACAGGGTCATGACAATTACTCTAAAATACACAGGGTCAGAACAACGTTCTATAAAAATACACAGGGTCGTGACAATGTACTATAAAAATACAAGGTCATGATGAAGTACTAAAAACAACACAGGGTTATGACAATTACTCTTAAAATACAAAGAGTCATGACAACATACTCTAACAAGAGGTCCATTGGACCTGTATCGCTCACCTGGTTTTATATTCAAGCCATATTCCAACTGAATGCATTAGTACATCTGTATATGAAATTTCCTCAAATCCAGACAAGATCTATGTTCTAACCCGTCTGGGACCACAATATCTGCTAATTTTGTTTTTTATATACCAGACGACGGGTGGCAGCCATTTTGAATTTTAGTGTCTGGCCGAGTTAGCTCACATTTACCTGAGGTTCACCCCAGCTCATTTTAATCAGCACCCTCAAGTTGACGAAAAACAACTTGCAAACCTTGGTCCGGGAAAAGTGGTCACGGGACCCCATTGTTGGAACTCTACTAATACCATAAGCTCACGGCACTTCCATCAAGACACAAATATCATGGTACAGTAATATAAAACCTGTGATGGAGTGATGGTGAGCGAAGGGAGGATAAAAAAAATAAGCAGGCCTGACATAAAATAAAAAACAAATAATTGTGAATAATATAAAACAAGAGGCCCATGGGGCCTTAACGGTCACCTGACATCTGATTCAAATTAGGACGGTCATCCAGGGGCCAATTCATACTTTTCGTCGGTCAGAGTGACCTTGCTGCATCGTCCATTAATTTTTCCTTGTGAACACAATAACTTAAGTAAATATGAACTGATTTTGATGAAACTTTGTATGCAGCTTTGTATCAATGATATCTTGGATGAGTTTGAATACCGGACCAATTTGACCATAACTTACATAGTTATTCCTCTTTGTAATTCTATTATTGTTGGTCCCTCTGAACACAATAACTGAAATAAATGGGTGTGACTCCAATTTTGACCCAAGGGGTCTGTTTTGAACAAACTTGGTAACTGTATGTCTTCTGTTCTTGGTTAAAAGAAACAAGTAAAAGCGTAAATCAATGATTTATTAAATAAGGCACAAAATTTTAATAGCACCTTGTTAGTAGCAAAAATGCGTCATGAATGAAAAAAAAGGTGTACCACATGAATTTACATCTATTCTTGTGTAATGTCAATCAACATCACAGGGACAAATTATAATATAATGACAAAGGGCAATAACTCTGCAGATTACCGTCAAATAATTACCGGACAAAGTTTCATTGAACTCTGTCAACATTTATTCAAGTTATCGTGTTTACAAGGTCCAATAATAATATTATTACAAAGGGCAATAACTCTGTAAGTTACTGTCAAATAATTCCCAGTTTCGAACTCATCCGAGATATTATTGATATAAGGCTACATACATAGTTTCATCAAACTTGGTTGATATTTACTCAAGTTATCATGAACACAAGGTCCAATACAAAATAGTGTAATAATATTATTAAAAAGGGCAATAACTCTGTAAATTACTGTCAAATAATTCCCATTTTCCAACTCATCCGAGATCTTATTGATATAAGGCTGCATACAAAGTTTCATCAAACTTGGTTGATAATTATTTAAGTTATCATGTTCACAAGGTCCAATAATAATAATATTACAAAGGGCAATAACTCTGTAAGTTACCGTCGAATAATTCCCATTTTCGAACTTGTCTGAGATCTTATTGATATATGCATATGGCTGCATTCAAAGTTTCATCAAACTTGGTTATTATTTACTTAAGTTATCGTGTTCACAAGGTCCAATAATAATATTATTACAAAGGGCAATAACTCTGTAAGTTACTGTCAAATAATTCCCAGTTTCAAACTCATCTGAGATATTATTGATATAAGGCTACATACATAGTTTTATCAAACTTGGTTGATATTTACTCAAGTTATCATGTTCACAAGGTCCAATAATAATAATATTACAAAGGGCAATAACTCTTGAAGTTACCGTCCAATAATTCCCAGTTTCAAACTCGTCCGGGATCTTATTGTTATATGGCTGCATACAAAGTTTAATCAAACTTGGTTAACATTTACTCAAGTTATCGTGTTCATAAGGTCCAATAATAATATTATTACAAAGGGCAATAACTCTTTAAGTTACCGTCCAATAATTCCCAGTTTCAAACTCGTCCGGGATCTTATTGATATATGGCTGCATACAAAGTTTCATCAAACTTGGTTAACATTTACTCAAGTTATCATGTTCACAAGGTCCAATAATAATAATATTACAAAGGGCAATAACTCTGTAAGTTACCGTCCAATAATTCCTGTTTTTCGAACTTGTCCGAGATCTTATTGATATATGGCTGCATACAAAGTTTCATCAAACTTGGTTAACATTTACTCAAGTTATCATGTTCACAAGGAAAAGTTAACGCACGACGGACAAAAGGCTATCATAATAGGTTACCATGACCTATGGTCAGGTAACCTAAAAAGTTATAAATCAATAGTTTATGAAAGAGACTGGAGTGTATGGAAGCCATTAAAGAGAGTGAGGTGAATGAAAGCCTCCTACGAGAGGACACGATTTGTTAATTTGTAACATGCTGGTGAAAAAAAACCATAAAAAATATATATATATATATATATATAAAGCTCAACTTAGATAATTGTACCTGTTGCTAGATAATAGGTTTTATATCTATAGCTGTGGAGAGGGAGGTATTATTAACTTTTCACCTCCTACTGTATACAGGCAATAAGTTATATATGTTTGGTTGTAGAGACAGGGTGATTGAAATTATGAAGATCTCTGTGAATGACTGACCTTTTCTGAAGTGGAATAAATTCACCGCGGACAGCCTGAGGATGACAACAGGCCTGACGAAGCTTCAGCAATGGGGACAGCAGCTGTAATGTAATTACAGGTAGATATAAAAACAGGTAAATACCTAAATACCTATAACAGGTAATTACAGACAGAACACAATATATTACAGGTAAATAAACCTTTCCATTTTTTATCTTACACAAGGAATTACAGGGAGACACCATTACAGGTAGATATAACACAGGAAATTACAATTATAAAGACCACAATGATCATGTAATTACTGGTTGAGAGTACACAGGTAACAACGTGTAGATATGGCATAAGTAACTATGACCAACACACATTTGAACTATGAACTTAGTATATACAGCTTGCTGGACAAGCATTTATTTAAATGTAGATTATACAATCATAAAACATTTTATACACTTGTAATCTTGAATCATTGAATATTGTAAACATTTTATACACTTGTAACCTTGAATCATTGAATATTGTAAATATTTTTACTCAAACCAATCTTTCCCTGGATCAGTGCTGTATATGAGCTGTACCTACCTGACTAACAGTGTGCCTGTCTAAACTGCTCAGCTTTGTGTTCATGTCTGACCATTTGCTGTAACTCTGAAACAGCAAATGTGATTTTTATATAAAGTAAACAACAATTTATAAGTTCTGTTTCTTTTCAATCAATCTTTTGTACTAAACTACCCAACTTTAAAAAATAATTATTGCAGGGAAAAAGAAATCCATCAAATACAAAGTTTTGCTTGATTGATTTGAACATTTTCGTAATACGATGACAGTTACCCACAATAACAAGCCTTTCAAGGGCCATCTCGCTGAAATATCACAAAACTTGATAACTTGTGAACCCACTGATCACACACTTTTATAACATTACTTTTAACATTAGCCATCCAAAGTGACTTCGCTGAAAAATATAGGTAAACGATAAAAGAATCAATGTGAAGGTTTTACTTAAAGTTACCCTTCTGGCAGCTGTGGCACAATCACTATACTGGCGCCGGTAGAAATGGTCCTCTACAGGCGAAAAGGTCAACCAATGAACATGCTGCGATTGGTCCGGAATATTAATCTGAAAATAACAGTATCACTAAGGGTCAAAGTGCAATCAATCAAAAACAGATGGTCTCATAGACTTGTTACAGTGGCACCTAAATAGGTTCAATTTATATACATCCACACCTGTTCTGGACAGTTTCGGCTTTACAGAACATCTGTCCAAACTCAAGTCTTGTAGACAAGCAGCACACACTGAACTGGAAGTGGATATAAAAGTGATAACGCAGTTCAAATAGTTGAATGTAGTCAATTTTATTATAATCAGATGTTATGTTATAGCTAGGTTATAGAGTTAAACATCACATAATTAATTTTCATTTCTATTTTTTTTTAGAAAGATACAGGAGTCAATCAATCATTATGTAGGTGTACAAAGGATATGGAAATTATACCCGGAGATATAGAATCTTGATACAACTCTTTATTGATACACTATCACATGGAACAGTAGTTCTTAATCAAGGCAATAGTGAGACAGAAGGGTGGGAGAAACATAATAATTCTCCACTTTGGGGATGAGATAAGAGATCTCAACCCTTATGGAGGGGCTATAGATATCCAACCAATAAACAGGGCCAGGTTGGACACTAAGAATCTCAACTTTTTGGTCGAGATTTTTCTGTCCATTCCTGAAGCTGGGGATGGTTCTATTATTCTGATTTAATGTGGAGAACAACTGAAAGTCTGATGTCTTCATGTTAATCAAGGTTTGGTTTAGACAAAACTGCTCAAAACACTATTTATACAAGTCACAATACAAAAATATTTGATTGTTAAGCTTTAACAGATAGTGTATGCACCTGATCAATTACATCCTTCTTAGCATTGCGCCAGAGCACACTGGAGATGACATTGTGGAAGGGTTGGGGGTCAGCATGACAGAAGGGGTCATACAACAGGGTCGTCCACCAATGCTTCACCCAGTAAGGGTCCAGTCCAAGGAACAGCAGCAGCCCATACACATCTACAAGTCAAGGATACATCATAAGGACCGCCAGGGTCACAGGCCTTCCTGTTAAACCTATTCTTTTTTACTTGACCCACCAAAATCCATTATGTTTACTAGTGTAGTCTAGATTACCTTTCCTGTCTATTATTATGTGCAAAAACTAATAAACATAAAAGTAAAGTGAGCTAAGGCTCAATAAGGTATTGTAATGATCTAAATTTACTGAAGGAAGCTACCAAACATCAACAAAGCTCTCTACTACTGAAGGAAGCTACCAAACATCAACGGAGCTCTCTACTACTGAAGTCCCTGTAACACACTTACATACCCGACATACTTTTCCGTATAGGAGTCCCTGTAACACACTTACATATCCGACACACTTTTCTGAATAGGAGTCCCTGTAACACACTTACATACCCGACATACTTTACTGTATAGGAGTCCCTGTAACACACTTACATACCCGACACACTTTACTGTATAGGAGTCCCTGTAACACACTTACATACCCGACACACTTTACTGTATAGGAGTCCCTGTAACACACTTACATACCCGACACACTTTACTGTATAGGAGTCCCTGTAACACACTTACATACCCGACACACTTTTCTGTATAGGAGTCCCTGTAACACACTTACATACCCGACACACTTTACTGTATAGGAGTCCCTGTAACACACTTACATACCCGACACACTTTTCTGTATAGGAGTCCCTGTAACACACTTACATACCCGACACACTTTACTGTATAGGAGTCCCTGTAACACACTTACATACCCGACACACTTTTCTGTATAGGAGTCCCTGTAACACACTTACATACCCGACACACTTTACTGTATAGGAGTCCCTGTAACACACTTACATACCCGACACACTTTTCTGTATAGGAGTCCCTGTAACACACTTACATACCCGACACACTTTACTGTATAGGAGTCCCTGTAACACACTTACATACCCGACACACTTTTCTGTATAGGAGTCCCTGTAACACACTTACATACCCGACACACTTTACTGTATAGGAGTCCCTGTAACACACTTACATACCCGACACACTTTTCTGTATAGGAGTCCCTGTAACACACTTACATACCCGACACACTTTACTGTATAGGAGTCCCTGTAACACACTTACATACCCGACACACTTTTCTGTATAGGAGTCCCTGTAACACACTTACATACCCGACACACTTTACTGTATAGGAGTCCCTGTAACACACTTACATACCCGACACACTTTTCTGTATAGGAGTCCCTGTAACACACTTACATACCCGACACACTTTACTGTATAGGAGTCCCTGTAACACACTTACATACCCGACACACTTTTCTGTATAGGAGTCCCTGTAACACACTTACATACCCGACACACTTTTCTGTATAGGAGTCCCTGTAACACACTTACATACCCGACACACTTTACTGTATAGGAGTCCCTGTAACACACTTACATACCCGACACACTTTTCTGTATAGGAGTCCCTGTAACACACTTACATACCCGACACACTTTACTGTATAGGAGTCCCTGTAACACACTTACATACCCGACACACTTTTCTGTATAGGAGTCCCTGTAACACACTTACATACCCGACACACTTTACTGTATAGGAGTCCCTGTAACACACTTACATACCCGACACACTTTTCTGTATAGGAGTCCCTGTAACACACTTACATACCCGACACACTTTACTGTATAGGAGTCCCTGTAACACACTTACATACCCGACACACTTTTCTGTATAGGAGTCCCTGTAACACACTTACATACCCGACACACTTTACTGTATAGGAGTCCCTGTAACACACTTACATACCCGACACACTTTTCTGTATAGGAGTCCCTGTAACACACTTACATACCCGACACACTTTACTGTATAGGAGTCCCTGTAACACACTTACATACCCGACACACTTTTCTGTATAGGAGTCCCTGTAACACACTTACATACCCGACACACTTTACTGTATAGGAGTCCCTGTAACACACTTACATACCCGACACACTTTTCTGTATAGGAGTCCCTGTAACACACTTACATACCCGACACACTTTACTGTATAGGAGTCCCTGTAACACACTTACATACCCGACACACTTTTCTGTATAGGAGTCCCTGTAACACACTTACATAGCCGACACACTTTTCTGTATAGGAGTCCCTGTAACACACTTACATACCTGACACACTTTTCTGTATAGGAGTCCCCGTAACACACCACCTGTTAACAGCACTCAAACGAAGTGCCATCTCAGCAGTCTGAAACAAAGGTATCACATGTTAAAAGATGTACAAACTCACTTTTCTTATAGGTAAAACTATTTAATGGATGATGACTCACATATGTAAATCTAATGATCAATGGACAGATAACATGTGTTATATCATTTGATAAGAGGACAGTCTTACATGTGTAACATTATTTGATAAGAGGACAGTCTTACATGTGTAACATTATTTGATAAGAGGACAGACTTACATGTGTAACATTATGTGATAAGAGTACAGACTTACATGTGTAACATTATGTGATAAGAGGGCAGACTTACATGTGTAACATTATGTGATAAGAGTACAGACTTACATGTGTAACATTATGTGATAAGAGGACGGTCTTACATGTGTAACATTATGTGATAAAAGGACGGTCTTACATGTGTAACATTATGTGATAAGAGGACAGACTTACATGTGTAACATTATGTGATAAGAGGACGGTCTTACATGTGTAACATTATGAGATAATAGGATGGTCTTACATGTGTAACATTATTTGATAAGAGGACAGACTTACATGTGTAACATTATGTGATAAGAGGACGGTCTTACATGTGTAACATTATGTGATAAGAGGACGGTCTTACATGTGTAACATTATTTGATAAAAGGACGGTCTTACATGTGTAACATTATATGATAAGAGGACGGTCTTACATGTGCAACATTATTTGATAAGAGGACAGACTTACATGTGTAACATTATTTGATAAGAGGACAGTCTAACATGTGTTACATTATTTGATAAGAGGATGGTCTTACATGTGTAACATTATTTGATAAGAGGACGGACTTACATGTGTAACATTATTTGATAAAAGGACGGTCTTACATGTGTAACATTATGTGATAAGAGGACGGTCTTACATGTGTAACATTATTTGATAAGAGGACGGTCTTACATGTGTAACACTATTTGATAAGAGGACAGACTTACATGTGTAACATTATGTGATAAGAGGACAGTCTTACATGTGTAACATTATGTGAGAAGAGGACAGACTTACATGTGTAACATTATGTGATAAGAGGACGGTCTTACATGTGTAACATTATTTGATAAAAGGACAGACTTACATGTGTAACATTATGTGATAAGAGGACAGACTTACATGTGTAACATTATTTGATAAGAGGACAGACTTACATGTGTAACATTATGTGATAAGAAGACGGACTTACATGTGTAACATTATGTGATAATAGGACGGTCTTACATGTGTAACATTATGTGATAAGAGGACGGTCTTACATGTGTAACACTATGTGATAAGATGTTTAATATATAGTGATAGCTGGGAAAGTTCACAAGTGTAATACTCTTTGATGGATGGAAAAGTTCACCAATGTAATACTATTTGATAGACAGGTAAATATATAGATACCACTGAATATCATAGTAAGTATATAGATACAAGACAGTAGAATGTACTAACCTTACTGGTTGTAACCTCCACCATCTGGGCCTCATCTAGGCACACCTGTGAAAATACACCTCAAAATAAGTCATGCTACAGTAACATGGTGTTGTTCACAGCAGTATACTGTAATGTATAGAGCTTTGAATTAACACAGGTTTACTTTTCAATTTTCATCAGTATTTATATTTTCACACAGTGTAGAATTCGTGGAAAAGAGCTAGGTCCACAATATTTTAACATAGTGAAACATTTTAAGTTTAATTGTGGTCTAGTTCAAAAAATGATTCTGTCATTTTACAATGTTGAAATACCACTGCCATGTGTAATTTAATCAGTATGCAGCATAAGCTGACAATTGGGTACATTACCAGAACAACATGGAGATGTAACAATATATAGAGGATATCTAACAGTGTCTTCAGTAATTTTTTGAATTAAACCACAATTAAACTTAAAATGTTTCACTATGTGCAAATATCGTGGACCTAGCTCTTTTTCAAGAATTCTATACTGTGTGAATATAGAGGATATATAACAGTGTCTTCAGTAATACCAAATGTATTTCATGAGTGTGGCTAATATGTTTGGTATTACTGAAGATACTGTTAGATATTCTGTTTATTACATTTTTTTTAAGAAAACCTACCCCGTAACGCAAAACGACACATCAAGCTGACAATACTTGATCTAGATACTTTTACCACGAGCATTTCTAGACAACCCTACACGACAAAAGATAGTCCCCCTCTGCAAAAATGTCCCCCTCTGCAAAAAAAATAGTAAAATTTAAAAACTTGTAATTAAATTCCTTTATCCACTTAATTTTATTTAGTAGACACTTAAGTTCACATTTAAATAAAAGTATGACAAATTACCATCATAACTTAATTATTAAGAAATAGTTCTATCAACTCAGATCACTATATAGTACAAGCTTGTTGATTAGCGCCAAATCTACAACATTGTATAATTACTTACCCTCCACCACTCCACAGTAAAACGTTACTTACCCTCCACCACTCCACAGTAAAACGTAACTTACCCTACACTCCACAGTAAAACATTACTTACCCTCCTCTACACAGTAAAACATTACTTACCCTCCTCTACACAGTAAAACGTTACTTACCCTCCACTCCACAGTAAAATGTTACTTACCCTCCTTGTTGATTAGCGCCAAATCTACAACATTGTATAATTACTTACCCTCCACCACTCCACAGTAAAACGTTACTTACCCTCCACTCCACAGTTAAACGTAACTTACCCTCCACTCCACAGTAAAACGTTACTTACCCACCACTCCACAGTAAAACGTTACTTACCCACCACTCCACAGTAAAATGTTACTTACCCACCACTCCACAGTAAAACGTTACTTACCCTCCACTCCACAGTAAAACGTTACTTACCCACCACTCCACAGTAAAACGTTACTTCCCCTCCACTCCACAGTAAAATGTTATTTACCCTCCACTCCACAGTAAAACATTACTTACCCTCCACTCCACAGTAAAACGTTACTTACCCTCCACTCCACAGTAAAATGTTACTTCCCCTCCACTCCACAGTAAAATGTTACTTCCCCTCCACTCCACAGTAAAATGTCACTTCCCCTCCACTCCACAGTAAAACGTTACTTCCCCTCCACTCCACAGTAAAATGTTACTTCCCCTCCACTCCACAGTAAAACGTTACTTCCCCTCCGCTCCACAGTAAAATGTTACTTCCCCTCCACTCCACAGTAAAATGTTACTTACCCTCCACTCCACAGTAAAATGTTACTTACCCGCCACTCCACAGTAAAACGTTACTTACCCTCCACTCCGCAGTAAAATGTTACTTACCCTCCACTCCACAGTAAAATGTTACTTACCCTCCATCACTCCACAGTAAAACGTTACTTACCCTCCATCACTACACAGCAAAACGTTACTTACCCTCCACTACTCCACAGCAAAATGTTACTTCCCCTCCACTACTCCACAGTAAAACGTTACTTACCCTCCACTCCGCAGTAAAATGTTACTTACCCTCCACTCCACAGAAAAACGTTACTTACCCTCCACTACTCCACAGTAAAATCTTACTTACCCTCCACTCCACAGTAAAATGTTACTTACCATCCACCACTCCACAGTAAAACGTTACTTACCCTCCACCACTCCACAGTAAAACGTTACTTCCCCTCCACCACTACACAGTAAAACGTTACTTCCCCTCCACTACTCCACAGTAAAATGTTACTTACCCTCCACTACTCCACAGTAAAATCTTACTTACCCTCCACTCCACAGTAAAATGTTACTTACCCTCTACCACTCCACAGTAAAACGTTACTTACCCTCCATCACTACACAGGAAAACGTTACTTACCCTCCACTACTCCACAGCAAAATGTTACTTCCCCTCCACTACTCCACAGTAAAACGTTACTTACCCTCCATCACTACACAGGAAAACGTTACTTACCCTCCACTACTCCACAGCAAAATGTTACTTCCCCTCCACTACTCCACAGTAAAACGTTACTTACCCTCCACCACTCCACAGTAAAACGTTACTTCCCCTCCACTCCACAGTAAAACGTTACTTCCCCTCCACTCCGCAGTAAAATGTTACTTACCCTCCACTCCACAGAAAAACGTTACTTACCCTCCACTACTCCACAGCAAAATGTTACTTCCCCTCCACTACTCCACAGTAAAACGTTACTTACCCTTCACTCCACAGTAAAACGTTACTTACCCTCCACCACTCCACAGTAAAATGTTACTTTCCCTCCACCACTCCACAGTAAAACGTTACTTCCCCTCCACCACTCCACAGTAAAATGTTACTTACCCTCCACTCCCCAGTAAAACGTTACTTACCCTCCACTACTCCACAGCAAAATGTTACTTACCCTCCCCTACTCCACAGTAAAACGTTCCTTACCTTCACTCCACAGTAAAATGTTACTTACCTCCTCTACACAGTAAAACGTTACTTACCCTACACTCCACAGTAAAACGTTACTTACCCTCCACTACTCCACAGCAAAATGTTACTTACCCTCCACTACTCCACAGTAAAACGTTACTTACCTTCACTCCACAGTAAAATGTTACTTACCTCCTCTACACAGTAAAACGTTACTTACCCTACACTCCACAGTAAAACGTTACTTACCCTCCACTCCACAGTAAAACGTTACTTACCCTCCACCACTCCACAGCTGTCATGGGACTTGGTATTGCCATAAAGCGCTTTGGATGACGAAACTTTCTGGTTGTGTCACCTGAAGTAAGAAAAAATCCAAATTGCAATAAGATGACAGCATGTGATAACTTGTATTATAGTATACTTGTAATATGGGTTGTTTTACATGTGTGAATACTGCTAGCTGTACAAAGGCCATTTCCCGGACCAATCTATCTCAGTCTGGCATGGGCAATATCAGCCCAGCATGAGCCATATGAGCCAAGCATGCGCCATATCTGCCCGGCATGTGCCATATCCCTGAAAGTGCCGGTTGAACACTTTTCAGAAAAATCGGACCTCAAACTTGTAGTGTGCACACTAGCATATGTCTGTATATGCTATTATGTTTATTGTGTTTTATTTAAAGTAGAATGTGATTATAGTTACCAGGTAAGCTAATGAAATATTGATTTCCTGTCAGGTTTAGGTGTTATTGCTTATTCCTTTGATGTTATAGACCAGTATATGATAAACAAGAGCTGTTGGAGAATAGCATAGCTCCCCTATTGGTGGTATATGTTGTAAGATAGCAAATATCAATAGAATCACATGTACAGGAAAACCTTGATATACTGTAGAGTATGTGAAGTTCGGGTTGTTTGCGGTATTGGAAGAACCAGACGAAGAATTGTGGCAGTATAACAAGGTTTTTCTGTACCTTAACAAGTTGTACATTTCAAAAGAAGAGATGACCAGACGACATGAAATAGTAAACAGCGTATTGATGGTGGTGATCTAACAACACTTCACAAGCAAAAACTTGCCCAAAACTTTAATCAAGACCAATTAACCAGTTTGCATTGGCTCCTAAAATATGAAAATATGGTTCAGCACACTGCTTACACTCCATATAAATGCCTCAACTTTATCATACACATCAATGTATTGAGTGTGATGATCCAACACTGTCTGAAAAAACTTGCCCAAAAACTTAAACTTCAGTGAAGTGGGACACCGACGCCGACCGGACTACATTAGGCCCCCTATTCTCCAAATAGGCAAGCTAAAAAGGTACCATAGTCCTATGTCTGATAACCTGATAACCTGTAATTACACAAATGACTTCTCCTTTGTGGTATCTGATAGTTTTCAACAAATGTTTACTAGCAAGATTAATAATGAAAGCTTAAATATTTAGTGTACACAAGAACATGTACCATTATATTTGTAGAATATAAAACCCTCTGTGTCAGAGAGTTACTAGCTCTGAACACTATAAAACATTGTTCTAGAATCAAGCATGTTCTCAAATTCCTTTGTAGGGATGGGCTCAAAAAATTACCAAAACTTTCATGCAAGAAAATTAACTGTAAGGCCACTAACTGTTTGAATGAGGGAGGTCTACATAGTCAATCTCCTTGCGTAGAGTTTCATAAGTTGTGATGACGATATCCTGCTGGGCTAACGTCCGGGGCTGTATAAATCCAAGCTTGTTCACACCAGTATATACCTGTATAAAATACAGTACATCTGTCTAAAAAAAGAGCTTATTATACGAAGGCTAAAACTTATACATGTACTACTTTGAGTGACTGGCTCACAGTGTTCTGTATTCTTATAGAAAATTTGGGTAACTTATATAATTATATAATTACAAACACTTTGAGTGATTGGTTTACATAACCAGTGCCCTGTATACTTACAGAAATTTTGAGTACTTATAAACACTTTGAGTGTCTGGCTTACATAATCAGTGTGCTGTAAATGTATAGAAATGTTGGGCAACTTACGAACACTTTGAGTGTCTGGCTTATATAATCAGTGTGCTGTAAATGTATAGAAATGTTGGGCAACTTACAAACACTTTGAGTGACTGACTGCTGATATGCTTTAGGATCTCGTCCACCCACTGGTGACTGATGGAGGAAGGGGAGATAATCAACGTGGTGCCAGACTTTATGGGTGGCTGTACAAACAACAATAGCTCCATTAAAGTATCAGAAACAAATGATTTTACACCAAGTGTTAATTGTATACAATATTGTTCAAATTTAAGTAATGTTCATATATACATACTGTTTATATATATTACCTTTATTAAGCCTAACTAGAACACTGACAGGTCAGTAAGGGCCCCGTCTTGTGGCAATATATCCCCCATAATCATCAAGAAGCAATCTGCCCATATAGCTGAGCTTGACATTTGACATTTGGACTTCAAAAAGAATCGCAAGGAAGCAAAATATACATTTTACATGTACTATGACGTGAGACTTGTTTCCTTCCACCTCCATATTTGTTGGGCTAACAGAAATGTAAATACTGGTGCAATACACATTTGTTAGCTTTGATTTGTTTTATTTCACCTTATATACCTCCTCCATCAAGAGCCAGGGTCAAAGTCAGAGATCCCCTTTGTCTTTGACCTTTGGACCCAAATGACCTTGACCATTAACCCAGTGACCCTGATCTTTGGTCAGTTGATTTATTCTTTAATTCCGACCAACTTTGCTTCATAATATCATAACAAAAAATGTTCATCAGTGAAAAATACAAAACTTGACCTTGACCCTTTGGACCCCGTAACCTGGACCTAAGGTCAGTTGACTCTGTGTTACGTTCTGAACAAGTTTGCTACATAATAACATAAAAAGTTCATCAGTAAAAGATACAATAATTGACCTTGACATTGACCACGTGACCTTGACCTTAAGTCAGTTGACTCCTTTTTAAATTCGGACCAACTTTGCTTCATAATGTCATAACAAAATGTTCATCAGTTAAAAAGATACAAATTTGATCTTGACCTTTGACCCAGTGACCTTGACATTTGGTCAGGTTGACTCCTTGTTTAATTCTGATCAACTTTGCTTCATCATATCATAACAAAATGTTCATCAGTGAAAATATGCAAAATTTGACCTTGACCTTTGAATCTAATGACCTTAACCTTTGACCTTGACTTTTTACCTCAATGTGTATTTTTGTGAACTGAACATCTTGACTAAGTTTAATGTACATCGGTCAATAAATACCAAAGTTTTCAGCCAGGAACAAAATTTGTGGACGGACAGACGGACAGACAGACAGACAGACAGACAGACAGACAGACAGACAGACAGAGTGATTACTATAGGGCACCTATATCTCCGATATGGGGCCCTAATTAAAAGCTTTGTATGAAGCTAACCTTTTGTCAAATAGATTGTACAATTAAGCTGATATCCTTCTATATGCATGGTCAAACTAATTCTGTTCATGGTTTTTTATTCCCGGTACTAAACCCTTCAAAATTATTACAGATACACTACAGCAGAAGAAACTATCATTTTCAGGAATATCTGATTTTGTTTCCTGTCACTATAACAGAACACATGAAATATGTACTTACAGTTGACACATGGCAGTGGGGACAACGGAAGTTGCCCCTGAGAGGATCATCAAGGTCATAATTGACACACTCTGCATGCTGCTGTAGACCACAATCGACACATTGGACAGAGTGCCGCTTGCTGATGGCTCCTGCTGATGTTGCCCCACAAATGCACTCGAAGAAATGCTGTCGTCTAACTGGCGTGGACACCGAGAACTGGTACTTCGGCTTGAAGGATGATGCCTCTACCAGCTCTACGAATCGGGATGGTACTCTTTTTTTCTTTGGCTTGCTCTCGTCTTTTTTAACTCTACTGCCTTTTACTCCATTACTTTTTTCTTTGACACATTTGTCGGGTGGTGTTGGCTTCATCTTCGTTGATTTTGCTTTAGCTTTTTTTTGCTTTTGAATCTGCTCTACTTGAGGTTTCCCCTTGTTACATTGCTCCACTTGAGGTTTCCCCTTGTTACATACACCGACAGTCTCACTGTTCTCTGCCACACCCTCCCTTGTTGCATCCTCTACACCACTATCATCTGCATGCATACTGCTAAGTGTTGATGCCTGACGTGGCTTTTTCTTTTTTGTCCAATTCTTACGTTTTCGTTTCTTAACAACTCTTCTTGCTGATTGGCTGCCAGCCTCCATCAGAGGACCATCTGCTAGATGGCTGATTTCTGCCCTGGTGTCTTCGTTATCCACACAGCCACCTGAAATCTCATCACCTTCCTGGGTTATATTGTCTTTTGTCTCTTCGTTATCCACACAGGCACATGGAGTCTCATCACCTTCCTTGATTATATCTGACTTTGTCTCTTTGTTATCCACACAGCCATGCGGAATCTCATCATCTTCCTGGGTTATATTGTCTTTTGTCTGCTCGTTATTCACACAGCCACATGGAATCTCATCACCTTCCTTGATTATATCTGACTTTGTCTCTTTGTTATCTACACAGCCATGTGGAATCTCATCTACTTTCCCATTAACCATTGGTCCAGTCATATCCATATCTATCACATTTGGAGGAGGATCTTCGTCCTGAGGTGTAGTCTGTGTACTATAGGTAACTGTAGCTAAAGAATTACCTTTGTCCATCACGTTTCTGGTATCTACATCTGTAACCGAGCCTTCAGAAGCAGCTTCCTCCCTGCCACAGACAATGGTAGGTAGATTCCTTTGTCTGACACTGGGTGTGTTAACACAGCCGGCAGCTTCCTCCCTGCCACAGACAATAGGTAGATTCCTGTGTCTGACACTGGGGGTGTTAACACAGCCGGCAGCTTCCCCCCTGCCACAGACAATAGGTAGATTCCTTTGTCTGACACTGGGTGTGTTAACACGGCCGGCAGCTTCCTCCCTGCCACAGACAATAGGGAGATTCCTGTGTCTGACACTGGGTGTGTTAACACAGCCGGCAGCTTCCTCAGTTTGGCCTTGACTTTCACCTGTTGTCTGACCTTTAACTTCTGACTGTCTGTCGCCATTGTCTCCATGTAAAGCTGAACTAACACAGCCCTCAGCTTTGCATATGACAGCTTGCCCATCTATTGCTGACGCCACAACCTCAGAGGTTATAATTGCAACCCCTTCCACTTTGACTTTATTCTGACCTATGACCTCTGATTGTTTTTCCTCTGGTGCCACAATCTTTACTGCACAGTTACTTTCCTGTAACGACTCAACTTGATTTTGACCTTGGACTTCAGAAAATGTTTTCTTTGGTGTATTTAAACATTTTAATTTGACATGAACATGTTTGATGTGAACATGCCTATAATTTCCTTCCTTCTCGATTTTCATTTCCTGAAAAGAAAAGGCAAAATTAGCTGAATATCATCTGCACAATGGTGTCGTCAATACAAGAAAGCATTGAATTACTAAGTGAAACTTTTGAAGAGGTCTTAATTAACTTATTACTTCCGCAAAGTATTCAGGAAGATGGAGAGTACCATTACTAATCACGAAACATTAGTTGAATATTTATGTACAGTTGACTCGAAGACCCTGTTATCTCGAAGTATTTTTCTGGTCCCGGCAAAATCTCTTCTTTATCATAGTAAATATAACTCTGATAATTCGAACCCTGAAAAGACGAAAAACTTGGATACTTAGAAGTAAGATATTGGTTTAGATAGCGTAAATCCAACATCAAAACATTGTCTCCTTTATGGTGTTCAAATTTCATTTTGTCACTTATTAATTTTTTGATACAAATAAAACGCAAAAGTATGACATCTCGCCATTCCATGTTAATGAACATCTTTTGTGAGTAGACTAGCATGTAATCAGTAAAAAGAATTTACGATAAAGCTTCAGACTAAAGTGTGCGGACTGTCAAAACCATGTTGTTCATAATAAAAAAACAAGAGTACCGCGGGGCGGAACAATATATGCCTGTCGAATGCCATATAGTGTTACATACTTTCTTACATTGAAATAAGATCTGCATCATTCTAAGAGCGGTTAGCTGACATGCTATAAAAAATGTAGTAGAAAATCTCCGGACAAAAAATAAAATACTGAAATGAACAAAGGGCAATTACTTTTGGAAAAATCGTCCAATCAACATTCTTTTAAGGGAGACACAACTTCATATCATAATCATAATGTATACCAAGTTTCAAAGAAATCCGTTAAAAACTGTAGGAGGAGATTGACGGAAAAACAAAAGTTTACGCCAGACGGATGGACGCTCAAGCAGAATTTTAACAAAAGTTGTGATTAACAAAATCACAACCAAGAAAATCACAACCTAGGACAGCTTCACGGGTTCATGTTTTACAGGAGCCAGTATGGCTTTGAAAGCTGATTGAGAGATTTAAGAACTATACAATAATTGCTGTTGATTACATTGAGTTGAGGGAGGTGTCAGGTGTCACATTTGGCTTTAATGAATCAATGTGTTTACATGTACGATATAATCTGTTTGTAAGTGTTTTTGTTTACAGAATCAGCTATGCGTACACTCCATTACGGCGATTTGTTTCAGACTTGCGCACTTTCATTTCCACATTATATAGTATGAGGACGGAGACAGCAGGATAGTTCAATTTTTAAATGTAACACTTTAGAAGTAAAATTTGATGGACTTGCAAATACGAATGCAGACCTGGAAAGACTTTGCCAAGATCTAGACAAGCCAAAAACAACATTTAATCACTATGCCCGTCCATATTTAATAATGAATTCACAATATGGTCCAACCGCTTTGATCGCATTAAACAAAAGTACGTTTTCGGAAATAACTTACTCTATTTTTGTTTATTGTAAAATTACATACCTGTATTTGTTATATTGAATAAGTATATCATTTATCGATTGATTACAACCATTGGCTATTAATAATCTCAACAACTGCTAGTGCTTTGTCCAAACAGCAAATTTCATACCAAATTTATGAACCTGAATAACTTGAATACTCGGATATTTTTTTCTGGTTTTGACGGTACAGGGCCATACCTACCTACAGTGTGGGAGATGGTACAGGGCAATACCTACCTACAGTGTGGCAGACTGTACAGGGCCATACCTACCTACAGTGTGGGAGACTGTACAGGCCAATACCTACCTACAGTGTGGGAGACTGTACAGGGCAATATCTACCTACAGTGTGGGAGACTGTACAGGGCCATACCTACCTACAGTGTGGGAGACGGTACAGGCCAATACCTACCTACAGTGTGGGAGACTGTAAAGGCCAGTACCTACCTACAGTGTGGCAAACTGTACAGGGCAGTACCTACATACAGTGTGGCAGACTGTACAGGGCGCTACCTACCTGCAGTGTGGGAGACTGTACAGGGCAGTACCTACCTACAGTGTGGGAGATGGTACAGGGCAGTACCTACATACAGTGTGGAAGACTGTCCAGGGCAATACCTGCCTACAGTGTGGCAGACTGTACAGGGCAATACCTACCTACAGTGTGGGAGACTGTAAAGGCCAGTCCCTACCTACAGTGTGGCAAACTGTACAGGGCAGTACCTACCTACAGTGTGGGAGATTGTACAGGGCAGTACCTACCTACAGTGTGGGAGACGGGACAGGCCAGTACCTACCTACAGTGTGGGAGATTGTACAGGGCAGTACCTACCTACAGTGTGGGAGACTGTACAGGGCAATACCTACATGCAGTGTGGGAGACTGTACAGGCCAATACCTACCTACAGTGTGGGAAACTGTACAGGGCAGTACCTACATACAGTGTGGAAGACTGGCCAGGGCAATACCTGCCTACAGTGTGGCAGACTGTACAGGGCAATACCTACCTACAGTGTGGGAGACTGTACAGGGCAATACCTACCTGCAGTGTGGGAGACTGTACAGGGCAGTACCTACCCACAGTGTGGGAGACTGTAAAGGCCAGTACCTACCTACAGTGTGGGAGACTGTACAGTTCAGTACCTACATACAGTGTGGGAGACTGTCCAGGGCAATACCTACCTACAGTGTGGGAGACGGTACAGGGCAGTACCTACCTACAGTGTGGGAGATTGTACAGGGCAGTACCTACCTACAGTGTGAGAGACTTACAGGGCAATACCTACATACAGTGTGGGAGACTGTACAGGGCAATATCTACCTACAGTGTGGGAGACTGTACAGGGCAATACCTACCTACAGTGTGGGAGATTGTACAGGGCAATGCCTACCTACAGTTAGGGAGACTGTACAGGCCAATACCTACCTACAGTGTGGGAGACGGTACAGGCCAATACCTACATACAGTGTGGGAGACTGTACAGGGCAATATCTACCTACAGTGTGGGAGACTGTACAGGGCAATACCTACCTACAGTGTGGGAGATTGTACAGGGCAATGCCTACCTACAGTTAGGGAGACTGTACAGGCCAATACCTACCTACAGTGTGGGAGACGGTACAGGCCAATACCTACATACAGTGTGGGAGACTGTACAGGGCAATATCTACCTACAGTGTGGGAGACTGTACAGGGCAATACCTACCTACAGTGTGGGAGATTGTACAGGGCAATGCCTACCTACAGTTAGGGAGACTGTACAGGCCAATACCTACCTACAGTGTGGGAGACGGTACAGGCCAATACCTACCTACAGTGTGGGAGACAGTACAGGGCAATATCTACCTACAGTGTGGGAGACTGTACAGGGCAATACCTACCTACAGTGTGGGAGATTGTACAGGGCAATGCCTACCTACAGTTAGGGAGACTGTACAGGCCAATACCTACCTACAGTGTGGGAGACGGTACAGGCCAATACCTACCTACAGTGTGGGAGACAGTACAGGGCAATATCTACCTACAGTGTGGGAGACTGTACAGGGCAATACCTACCTACAGTGTGGGAGATTGTACAGGGCAATGCCTACCTACAGTTAGGGAGACTGTACAGGCCAATACCTACCTACAGTGTGGGAGACGGTACAGGCCAATACCTACCTACAGTGTGGGAGACAGTACAGGGCAATATCTACCTACAGTGTGGGAGACTGTACAGGGCAATACCTACCTACAGTGTGGGAGATTGTACAGGGCAATGCCTACCTACAGTTAGGGAGACTGTACAGGCCAATACCTACCTACAGTGTGGGAGACGGTACAGGCCAATACCTACCTACAGTGTGGGAGACAGTACAGGGCAATATCTACCTACAGTGTGGGAGACTGTACAGGGCAATACCTACCTACAGTGTGGGAGATTGTACAGGGCAATGCCTACCTACAGTTAGGGAGACTGTACAGGCCAATACCTACCTACAGTGTGGGAGACGGTACAGGCCAATACCTACCTACAGTGTGGGAGACAGTACAGGGCAATATCTACCTACAGTGTGGGAGACTGTACAGGGCAATACCTACCTACAGTGTGGGAGATTGTACAGGGCAATGCCTACCTACAGTTAGGGAGACTGTACAGGCCAATACCTACCTACAGTGTGGGAGACGGTACAGGCCAATACCTACCTACAGTGTGGGAGACAGTACAGGGCAATATCTACCTACAGTGTGGGAGACTGTACAGGGCAATACCTACCTACAGTGTGGGAGATTGTACAGGGCAATGCCTACCTACAGTTAGGGAGACTGTACAGGCCAATACCTACCTACAGTGTGGGAGACGGTACAGGCCAATACCTACCTACAGTGTGGGAGACAGTACAGGGCAATATCTACCTACAGTGTGGGAGACTGTACAGGGCAATACCTACCTACAGTGTGGGAGATTGTACAGGGCAATGCCTACCTACAGTTAGGGAGACTGTACAGGCCAATACCTACCTACAGTGTGGGAGACGGTACAGGCCAATACCTACCTACAGTGTGGGAGACAGTACAGGGCAATATCTACCTACAGTGTGGGAGACTGTACAGGGCAATACCTACCTACAGTGTGGGAGATTGTACAGGGCAATGCCTACCTACAGTTAGGGAGACTGTACAGGCCAATACCTACCTACAGTGTGGGAGACGGTACAGGCCAATACCTACCTACAGTGTGGGAGACAGTACAGGGCAATATCTACCTACAGTGTGGGAGACTGTACAGGGCAATACCTACCTACAGTGTGGGAGATTGTACAGGGCAATGCCTACCTACAGTTAGGGAGACTGTACAGGCCAATACCTACCTACAGTGTGGGAGACGGTACAGGCCAATACCTACCTACAGTGTGGGAGACAGTACAGGGCAATATCTACCTACAGTGTGGGAGACTGTACAGGGCAATACCTACCTACAGTGTGGGAGATTGTACAGGGCAATGCCTACCTACAGTTAGGGAGACTGTACAGGCCAATACCTACCTACAGTGTGGGAGACGGTACAGGCCAATACCTACCTACAGTGTGGGAGACAGTACAGGGCAATATCTACCTACAGTGTGGGAGACTGTACAGGGCAATACCTACCTACAGTGTGGGAGATTGTACAGGGCAATGCCTACCTACAGTTAGGGAGACTGTACAGGCCAATACCTACCTACAGTGTGGGAGACGGTACAGGCCAATACCTACCTACAGTGTGGGAGACAGTACAGGGCAATATCTACCTACAGTGTGGGAGACTGTACAGGGCAATACCTACCTACAGTGTGGGAGATTGTACAGGGCAATGCCTACCTACAGTTAGGGAGACGGTACAGGCCAATACCTACATACAGTGTGGGAGACTATACAGGGTAATACCTACCTACAGTGTGGGAGACGGTACAGGCCAATACCTACCTACAGTGTGGGAGACAGTACAGGGCAATATCTACCTACAGTGTGGGAGACTGTACAGGGCAATACCTACCTACAGTGTGGGAGATTGTACAGGGCAATGCCTACCTACAGTTAGGGAGACTGTACAGGCTAATACCTACCTACAGTGTGGGAGACGGTACAGGCCAATACCTACATACAGTGTCGGAGACTGTACAGGGCAGTACCTACCTACAGTGTGGGAGACTGTAAAGGCCAGTACCTTCCTACAGTGTGGGAGACTGTACAGGCCAATACCTACCTACAGTGTGGGAGACTGTACCGGCCAATACCTACCTACAGTGTGGGAGACTGTACAGGCCAAAACCTACCTACAGTGTGGGAGACTGTACAGGGCAGTACCTACCTACAATGTGGGAGACTGTCCAGGGCAGTATATACCTACAGTGTGGGAGACGGTACAGGGCAATACCTACCTAGAGTTTTGGAGACGGTACAGGGCAGTACCTACCTACAGTGTGGGAGACTGTACAGGGCAATATCTATACACAGTGTGGCAGACTGTACAGGGCAATACCTACATACTGTGTGGGAGACTGTACAGGGCAATATATATACCTACCTACAGTGTGGGAGACGGTACAGGCCAATACCTACCTACAGTGTGGGAGACTGTACAGGGCAATACCTACCTACAGTGTGAGAGACTGTAAAGGGCAATACCTACATACAGTGTGGGAGACGGTACAGGGCAGTACCTACCTACAGTTTTGAAGACTGTATAGGCCAGTACCTACCTACAGTGTGGGAGACTGTACAGGGCAATACCTACCTACCGTGTGGGAGACTGTACAGGTCAGTACCTACCTACAGTGTGGGAGACTGTACATGGCAATACCTACCTACAGTGTGGCAGACTGTACAGGGCGATACCTACCTGCTGTGTGTGAGACTGTACAGGGCAGTACCTACCTACAGTGTGGGAGACTGTACAGGCCAATACCTACTTTCTTTATGGGAGACTGTACAGGCCAGTACCTACCTGCAGTGCGAGAAACTCCACAGACCAGTACCTACCTTCAGTGTGGGAGACAGTACAGGGCAATACCTACCTACAGACAGTGTGGGAGACTGTACAGACCAGTACCTACCTTCAGTGTGCTGAAACCTTACATCCGGGCCAACAAGAGTGATTTATAAGTTGACATAACTTGTTTCATAACTGTTGCAAAATAAATAAAGTGTATATATATATACCTTCAGTGTGGGAAGTCTTGGGGGCTGCTCAATGTGAGGACTTTTGTGTAATAATATACAGGCAAGTACCTCCACGGTCTTGCCCAGGCCCATCTCATCTGCCAGAATCCCACCAGGGGGAGCCACCACTCTTTCCTGGCGCTCCCTGGTCAAACTATAAAATATTTAGGAAAGTAAATTCCTTATTCTTGTTGGTAAAAGTAACACGATTAATGTATAGGTTGCTTTAATGAATAATTGATAATAGTTTTCAGAAAGTATTGAAATCTTTGATTTTTATACACTTTTGTTATTCATGTACATGTACTTACATTCCATTTGAATGTGAACTGTTGACATATATGAATATTAAGATTTGATGTGTCTGTACCTATAGCGGCCGTACACTCCACATCAAATACTGACTGTGTGCAAACCTTGATAAGTATTTGTTGTAGTACAGAGTGCAGCCATCTGGTGTTTTGACTTCCTCGTACAACATGTGGAGAGGCGCCTCTGAAGGGGAACATACATAGTATCATTACACTATTAACAGCTAGTAATCTTATTCAGGATTCACAGTTTAAGTGCAAATACCAACATTTAATTCTTAAAGTGCTCAATAATAGTTAAAGTAATGAGAAATCACAAATAAACACATATAAAGGATAAGACTAATTCATCGGGGTATGCAGAAATATACTGATCATTCACTAACAGATGTTGGGTTTCATTATCCCTTGTAATAACCTGAACATGGCACACCTAGTTACACAGGAACATTCAGTGTAGACATTAAACAAGCTACACCTACTCACACAGGAATATTCAGTGTAGAGATTAAACATGCTACACCTAGTTACACAAGAATATTCAGTGTAGAGATTAAACATGCTACACCTAGTTACACAGGAATACTCATTGTAGAGATTAAACATGGCACACCTAGTTACACAAGATTATTCAGTGTAGAGGTTAAACATGTACCACCTAGTTACACAGGAATATTCAGTGTACAGATTAAACATGGCACACCTAGTTACACAGTAATATTCAGTGTAGAGATTAAACATGCTACACCTAGTTACACAGGAATATTCAGTATACAGATTAAACATGGCACACCTAGTTACACAAGATTATTCAGTGTAGAGGTTAAACATGTACCACCTAGTTACACAGGAATATTCAGTGTAGAGAATAAACATGGAACACCTAGTTACACAGGAATATTCAGTGTATAGATTAAACATGGCACACCTAGTTTCACAGGAATATTCAGTGTACAGATTAAACATGGCACACCTAGTTACACAAGATTATTCAGTGTAGAGGTTAAACATGTACCACCTAGTTACACAGGAATATTCAGTGTAAAGATTAAACATGCTACACCTAGTTACACAAGAATATTCAGTGTAGAGATTAAACATGCTACACCAAGTTACACAGGAATATTCAATGTAGAGATTAAACATGGTACACCTAGTTACACAAGAGTATTCAGTGTAGAGGGTAAACATGCTACACCTAGTTACACAGGAACATTCAGTGTAGAGAATCAACATGGTACACCTAGGTACACAGGAATATTCAGTGTAGAGATTAAAGATGGCACACCTAGTTACACAGGAATATTCACTATACAGATTAAACATGGCACACCTAGTTACACAAGATTATTCAGTGTAGAGGTTAAACATGTACCACCTAGTTACACAGGAATATTCAGTGTAGAGGTTAAACATGGCACACCTAGTTACACAGGGATATTCAGTGTAGAGATTAAACATGGCACACCTGGTTACACAGGAATATTCAGTGTAGAGCTTAAACATGCTACACCTAGTTACACAGGAATATTCAGTGTACAGATTAAACATGGTACACCTAGTTACACAAGAGTATTCAGTGTAGAGGGTAAACATGCTACACCTAGTTACACAGGAACATTCAGTGTAGAGATTAAACATGGTCCACCTAGTTACACAAGAGTATTCAGTGTAGAGGGTAAACATGCTACACCTAGTTACACAGGAACATTCAGTGTAGAGATTAAACATGGGACACCTAGTTACACAAGAGTATTCAGTGTAGAGGGTAAACATGCTACACCTAGTTACACAGGAATATTCAGTGTAGAGAATAAACATGCTACACCTAGTTACACGGGAATATTCAGTGTAGAGATGAGGATTCAGTGTAGAGGTTAAACATGGCACACCTAGTTACACAGGGATATTCAGTGTAGAGATTAAACATGGCACACCTAGTTAAACAGGAACATTCAGTGTAGAGATTAAACATGGTCCACCTAGTTACACAAGAGTAGTCAGTGTATAGGTTAAACATGCTACACCTAGTTACACAGGAATATTCAGTGTAGAGAATAAACATGCTACACCTAGTTACACGGGAATATTCAGTGTAGAGATGAGGATTCAGTGTAGAGGTTAAACATGGCACACCTAGTAACACAGGAATATTCAGTGTAGAGATTAAAGATGGCACACCTAGTTACACAGGAATATTCAGTGTAGAGAATAAACATGGCACACCTAGTTACACGGGAATATTCAGTGTAGAGATTAAACATGCTACCCCTAGTTACACAGGAATACTCATTGTAGAGATTAAACATGGCACACCTAGTTAAACAGGAACATTCAGTGTAGAGATTAAACATGGCACACCTAGTTACACAGTAATATTCAGTGTAGAGATTAAACATGGCACACCTAGTTAAACAGGAACATTCAGTGTAGAGATTAAACATGGTCCACCTAGTTACACAAGAGTATTCAGTGTAGAGATTAAACATGGCACACCTAGCTACACAGGAATATTCAGTGTAGAGAATAAACATGGCACACCTAGTTACACGGGAATATTCAGTGTAGAGATTAAACATGGCACACCTAGTTACACAGGAATATTCAGTATACAGATTAAACATGGCACACCTAGTTACACAGGAATAATCAGTGTAGAGATTAAACATGGCACACCTGGTTACACAGGAATATTCAGTGTAGAGATTAAACATGGCACACCTAGCTACACAGGAATATTCACTGTAGAGATTAAACATGGCACACCTACTTACACAGGAACATTCAGTGTAGAGTTTAAACATGGCACACCTAGTTACACGGGAATATTCAGTGCAGCGATTAAACATGGCACACCTAGTTACGCAGGAATATTCAGTATACAGATTAAACATGGCACCCCTAGTTACACAGGAATATTCAGTGTACAGATTAAACATGCTACACCTAGTTACACGGGAATATTCAGTGTAGAGATGAGTATTCAGTGTAGAGGTTAAACATGCTACACCTGGTTACACAGGAATATTCAGTGTAACCAGGTGTGCCATGTTTAATCTCTACAGTGAATATTCCTGTGTAGCTAGGTGTGCCATGTTTAATCTCTACATTGAATATTCCTGTGTAACTAGGTGTTACATGTTTAAGCTCTACACTGAATAATCTTGTGCAACTAGGTGTGCCATGTTTAATCTCGACACTGAATATTCCTGTGTAACTAGGGGTACCATGTTTAATCTCTACACTGAATACTCTTGTGTAACGAGGGGTAGCATGTTTAATCTCTACACTGATTATTCCTGTGTAACATGGCACACCTAGTTACACAGGATTATTCAGTGTAGAGATTAAACATGCTACACCTAGTTACACAGAAATATTCAGTATACAGATTAAACATGGCATACCTAGTTACACAGGAATATTCAGTATACAGATTAAACATGGCATACCTAGTTACACAGGAATATTCAGTATAAAGATTAAACATGGCACACCTAGTTAAACAGGAACATTCAGTGGAGAGATTAAACATGGCACACCTAGTGACACAGGAATATTCAGGGTATAGATTAAACATGGTACACCTAGTAACAGGAATATTCAGTGTAGAGATTACACATGCTACACCTAGTTACACAGGAATACTCAGTATACAGATTAAACATGGCACCCCTAGTTACACAGGAATATTCAGTGTACAGATTAAACATGGCACACCTAGATACACAGGAATATTCAGTGTAAAGATTAAACATGCTACACCTAGTTACGCAGGAATATTCAGTATACAGATTAAACGTGGCACACCTAGTTACACAGGAATAATCAGTGTAGAGATTAAACATGGCACTCCTGGTTACACAGGAATATTCAGTGTAGAGCTTAAACATGCTACACCTAGTTACACGGGAATACTCATTGTAGAGATTAAACATGACACACCTACTTACACAGGAATATTCAGTGTAGAGTTTAAACATGGCACACCTAGTTACACAAGATTATTCATTGTAGAGGTTAAACATGTTACACCTATTTACACAGGAATATTCAGTGTAGAGAATAAACATGGCACACCTAGTTACACAAGATTATTCATTGTAGAGGTTAAACATGTTACACCTATTTACACAGGAATATTCAGTGTAGAGCTTAAACATGCTACACCTAGTTACACAAGAATATTCAGTGTCGCGATTAAACATGGTACACCTAGCTACACAAGAGTATTCAGTGTAGAGGTTAAACATGCTACACCTAGTTACACAGGAATATTAAGTATACAGATTAAACATGGCACACCCAGTTACACAGGAATATTCAGTGTAGAGCTTAAACATGCTACACCTAGTTACACAGAAATATTCAGTATACAGATTAAACATGGCACCCCTAGTTACACAGGAATATTCAGTGCAGAGATTAAACATGGCACACCTAGTGACACAGGAATATTCAGGGTACAGATTAAACATGGTACACCTAGCTACACAGGAATATTCAGTGTAGAGAATAAACATGGCACACCTAGTTACACAAGATTATTCATTGTAGAGGTTAAACATGTTACACCTATTTACACAGGAATATTCAGTGTAGAGTTTAAACATGGCACACCTAGTTACACGGGAATATTCAGGGTAGAGATTAAACATGGCACACCGAGTTACACAGGAATATTCAGTATACAGATTAAACACGGCACACCTAGTTACACAGGAATATACAGTGTAGAGATCAAACATGGCACACCTAGTTACACAGGCATATTCAGTGTAGAGATTAAACATGCTACACCTAGTTACGCAGGAATATTCAGTATACAGATTAAGCATGGCACACCTAGTTACACAGGAATATGCAGTATACAGATTAAACATGGCACACCCAGTTACACAGGAATATTCAGTGTAGAGTTTAAACATGGCACACCTAGTTACACTGGAATATTCAGTGTAGAGATTAAACATGACACACCTACTTACACAGGAATATTCAGTGTAGAGAATAAACATGTTACACCTAGATACACAGGAATATTCAGTGTAAAGATTAAACATGCTACACCTAGTTACACAAGAATATTCAGGGTAGAGATTAAACATGGTACACCTAGCTACACAGGAATATTCAGTGTAGAGATAAAACATGGCACACCTAGTTACACAGGGATATTCAGTGTAGAGATTAAACATGACACACCTACTTACACAGGAATATTCAGTGTAGAGAATAAACATGCTACACCTAGTTACACGGGAATATTCAGTGTAGAGATGAGTATTCAGTGTAGAGGTTAAACATGCTACACCTAGTTACACAAGAATATTCAGGGTAGAGATTAAACATGGCACACCGAGTTACACAGGAATATTCAGTATACAGATTAAACATGGCGCACCTAGTTACACAGGAATATTCAGTATACAGATTAAACGTGGCACACCTAGTTACACAGGAATATTCACTATACAGATTAAACATGGCACACCTAATTACACAGGAATATTCAGTGTAGAGCTTAAACATGCTACACCTAGTTACACAGAAATATTCAGTATACAGATTAAACATGGTACACCTAGCTACACAGGAATATTCAGTGTACAGATTAAACATGGTACCCCTAGTTACACAGGAATATTCAGTGTACAGATTAAACATGCTACACCTAGTTACGCAGGAATATTCAGTATACAGATTAAACACGGCACACCTAGTTACACAGGAATATACAGTGTAGAGATCAAACATGGCACACCTACTTACACAGGAACATTCAGTGTAGAGAATAAACATGTTACACCTAGTTACACAGGAATATTCAGTGTAGAGAATAAACATGTTACACCTAGTTACACAGGAATATTCAGTGTAGAGATAAGCATGGTACACCTAGTTACACAGGAACATTCAGTGTAGAGATTAAACATGGTACACCTAGTTACACAAGAATATTCAGTGTAGAGATTAGTCCTGGCAACACCTCTTCATACGCACCTGTGTTAGAGAGTATGTTGTCTGTAGGTTGACATTTCTTGACCTTGAAGCCCTCCCTAGACAGCATCCAGGACACACCTCTTCGTTGGTATGGCCTAAGGTGGGGGATGAGGCTTGGGTGCTGCACTTCAACATCCGCAGTTATCTCCTCTTTATCATGTGTTGCTTTGACAACAGTGTACAGATTTTCAATATCATGCTTCCTTGAGCTGTTTTCCTGGTCATACACTGAAATACATACAACTTCAAACATTTCATCAAGAATACAGTGGAACAATATTTTTTTTAGTTCTACAATATCATATTGTGGTAGATTTTGATTGTACATAGGATTACTGTTGCCTTCTTGCTTTGAGCTAGGGTGAATTTCCCTTTAGCTCAGCGGTAGAATGTCTGACTTGGATCCTAGGTATCGCAGGTTCGATCCCCAGGGGAAGCACTCTATTTTCTTTCTTGTTACAAATGGTGTCTGTGGCCCTCCCTGTGGTGACAGGGAGTGAGAAAGTGGGTTGTGGTGTTCGAGGGCGAACACATTTAAAAAGGGGGGAGTAGTGTGGCAGATTTTAATTGTATATAAGATTACGGTCGCCTTTTTGCTAGGGGGAATTTCCCTTTGGCTCAGTGGTAGAGCATCTGACTATGAACCTTGGGATCGTGGGTTCGATCCCCGGTAGAAGCACACTATTCTCTTTCCTGTTACAATATATATATATATGAAAAGGACAGGAGTAATAGATAAACTGTTAAGTTGCCAGAAAAATTCAATTCAGTTAAAGATTTATATAGTTTATTACCAGTAATACAACTTGAACCAACTGAGTTTTGAGTCTGAAAAAAAAGGCTTGAGTAATTATATAATCATACGATATTACCTCCACTTTGTTGTTGAGTACTCACCAGGTGGAGCTAGTCTAAAGAAGTGAGCCATGACCACCTTCAGCAGAATGTTCTGTTTCCTCATTTTGATATGCTCACTCGGGAATTTTGGCTTACACAGTAAGGCCTCTCTAGCATGAATGGTCAGACTAAATCTAAATGTTGTTGGGTCATACTGACCAATAGTCACCACAACCATCTTTGAATTGCACTTATCAAAGACTGCCAGGACCTGTATAGAGGAAAACAGTGTTTAGAATACATGGGTCCTGTTTTTGTGGGTAATATGTGTAACTCAAATATCTAAGTTTTACTTGAAGTGATTGTGATCTGGTACTTACCTCTGTAGGAATATCTATGTCCACACACCAGGAGGTCAATAACCTGGCCCTTGATGGATTCTCATCATTCTCACCCTCTTCAATGTACAGCATACTTTTCCCTGTGACCTCACTGACATAAAGCCAGACCTCTTCCTGGCCCCTCAGCACACAGGTCCCCGGCTCTCCCATCAACCCTGGCAACAACTTCACACTGAACAAACCTAGCACTGTGTGCCACTCATTCTCCCTGAAGGGCAAAGATGGCATTACCCTGACCATGTAGGAACAGTACTTCAAGTTGTCATCAAACATGTCTTGCATCTGTTGTGTTGGGAACTGTGGTTGTTGTATGCTGTTTATTTCGGTAGAGTTTCCTCCTGTTTTACGATCAGGCTCCTGTACCTGTTGTGCCTCATGTAGGATGGAGGGGTCGCTGTCATCAAGTACAGACAGGGATCCCTCAGGGGCTACACCATCAAGCATGTTCCACTCCAGACAGAGCCGTTTGTCCTCAGATGCCCGCTGTGGGGCTGTCTGCTTTCTCTTACCCATTGTTGTGTACTCAGATCAAATCTGTTTTCCTATGTTGGTACCTGATCCAAAGAGTTACTTAATAATAAAGTGGTATACATGTTTATTATCATTATTATCGTTATTTAATAGCCCTTTTTTTTAAAACTGAAAGTTCAAACAATAGCACTTTCAAATGGAGCTAATAAAGTCTCATAGTTAGAACCGTTCAGATGCATTTGTGAATGAAAATGCTGGGGTAGAAATAAATTAAAAGTTATTAGTCAGCAGGGCTAATATTTTCCAATTTAACTAGTCCATGTGCAAATTGTACTAGAACCCATGAATATTATTCAACCACTAGTCCAGCTGGAGATTTCACTAGTCCCAGACTACTTGGTTACCCTTCTATTCTAGTCCTGAAATATATCAATATCAAAATGTAAACAATCAAAAAATATATTTTACTCTGGAATACTGAATTTGGATGCATTGATTTTGTTCCTTGTTACTGTTTGCATCTTGATATACGGATTGCCTCCCTTTGTCCAAATTTTTTTTTTTAAACTCTTTCATAAGCATAATCTATATTTGGGTATTGTGTCACCATTTACCAAGTTTTCACCAAGTTTGATAAACATGGAGGCATTTGCAGTGTTATATAGGCAGAAGAAAAGGAAATATGTGGGGATGTACAAATTTTCCCCATCTGGAAAACACTAAGGCCTATATAATTGTTTTGTTAGTACAGCCAATTTTTTATTGTAATTAATGAATATTACATTATTCATGTACGTCTATTAATTTTATCTTTGCATTAAGTCTATATTTATTTGAAAAATCATGACAATGTATTTATTCATTTTTTCCAAAAACATATACAGCCAATTTTGATGTAAATTTATTTATTTATTATTATTATTATTGCAAATATATATATTAAAAATAAACAGTCAATATTTTCATTGTAATATTAATGTACATATATTAAATGAATTTCCACAAACAAGTGACTGTCACCTTTTCGCTTTTCCCCACAATATTAAAATGCCAAAAACATCGCTGTAATATTTATTTAAAAAAATAATTACTGTGTCTACACTTTCATAATGTTGTTTCTATTTATTAAACATAGATAAACACAAACATGATTAAATATATTTTTAAAAAATAAGAATGTGTTCGTTATCAACTACGATGTACTGAGAAGACAAATATAGGGGACTGGGACGTCTAAAAATTTGCCATTCGCAAATAGAAACAAATAGAAAAATTAAGATAATAACATTAGTGCAAAAAGTACCTTGAGTATCTATTCTAACTAATAGACATATTATTTTACCTCTAAAATGATCCAGAAGTTTCCAAATTCTGCGCTAATTCACACGGTATTAAATCATTTGTTTACGCCTTACTTCAGCATTTATACAGTAAATATAAATTGCCCATCGGTTTTCAGAATTTATACGAAACAGAACGCATATATTTGTTGTCTTTTAAATCGATTGCATAACTAAAATTGTATGAAAAGGTTATATAGATTTCATGGATATTTGTTTTTTTTATCACAGCAGAAATTCCAATTTAAGAAAAAGCATGCCTCTTTGTGTTTCGTTACTTATGTTATTGTTCTCAAACCGAGGCTTGTTGTTTTGGTATCGGCCATTTTAAAAGTAATGCTACTGGATGGTAAGAGAATGAATGGTACGAATCAACGAACATCGCTTTTGTATATGGTGAATACTGGCCGGTTTTGAGACATTTTGATAGAACATTTTACTAAGAAATCCAACGCACTTTAATTTTTACCTTCATCAAATTCATTAGTGATTTGTAAGACACCAAAGCCATCGAAGCAGAATGGCTTGTGGTGCAACTCTGAAACGAAGTATTGAATTCGATCCATTACACAGTCCTGGCCAGACAACACCTAAAAGAAGAAGATGTATGCCGATGACCCTTTCTCCTTCAACTCCTCCAACGAAATATCATCAAATAAACCCTTCTCCGTTTGGGGAAGTGAGTCCAAAATTGACTTCGGGTAAGATATTTTTGACGGTTATGTGTTGTGTGCGGGTTTCTTTCACATTCCTGTAAGCAAACCGTTAAGAACTAGGCCTAACGTTATTTATTATTTTTCTATTGAAGCTATTTGTTGTAAATTAATGTTTGTTATTTTATATGCATGATATTCCCTATGACCAGTGAATCGACAGTCCATGGCTTCCGGAACAGACTGATCAATGTTGAACATACCACATATAAAATATGTTTGCAGTAGGCTAACTTATTTTGTCACAATGTTTTAAACGCCCTTAAATCGTTAGGCCTACATTTTGAAATTGAAATCGAAATCACACAACTGTCCTTAAGCTTCTTTGTTAGGGGCCGGTTCTGTCTTGGCAAGTGGATTTGTAAAAGCAATTGATCGCGTTCGATATTGAATTCCTTTAAAATTAGACATGTTACCAAATTTATCATCAGTAAATAATGTTGTGTCGCCCCAAATCTTGAAGGCCATAGGTTGTTCCACGGTAGACTGTTTCGCCCTAGTCTTTATCATCATTAGACTCGAGTTTGTTAGATTTGTTCATGGTCCACAGGTATCGTCTAGTCATGGGTTTCGCGCGTTATATATTTCCGCGCAGCCAATTTATCAAGCTATATCTCATTACTACGTAATTTGCCAGACACTACACAGAGATATTTTAGACATTTGGCCATCGTCTGTAAACCGACGCAAACATTACCGGATGTTTGTCCGGAAAACATAAGAATTAATCACTGATTAAAAAACATGCATGAATGTCAAGTTATGCTTAATGAATTTTTGATCTTGCTCAAAATAAACCCATATATGAAAAAACAGTGATATATTTCATTCACGATGGGGTCTTTTTTGTAGTCTGACAAACATAGTGTCGTCACATCTCCTCGTCAAATTTTTTCCACTTTCAAAGAGCCAAGGAGACATTCTTATATCGATAAACACTGTTTGCAATGAAACGTAAACCTTGCAATTGTAATGAATGATAATGAACTTCCAATTTTAAACAGAACAAAAGGAGGAATAACTTGCCATCAACCGAAATTGATACGAGACTACTGCACAACAACAAAAATAACAAATCCTATTATAATTTAATAAAATTTCATAAATTGAATCGTTTTGATAATTAATTTCAGGATTTTTTTAATTTTTTTTCACCCAACGAAAATTGTTCGTGTGGGTCACTATGGAGAATTTCGTTTTAGTGTATACAAGTTATCTTTCTTTGAACACTTAATCAAAATAGACACACAGAAACATATGACCGCTACTTCCGATTGGGAAAAAAATTGTAAAAATGTTGATTTTTTTTTTTTTTTTAAAGAGTTTATGTTGCTTGTTTTTTGTTTCCATTAGTATATTGTGTTCATATCTATTACAGTCATCCGTAATTTCAACAGTTTTCTACCTATATGGTAACAGAATCGCGGATGCTTCTTCAGTGCACGGAAACCAATAACACGAGGATACACCCGTAATAATCAAGATTGGTAATTCTGTCCCCTAATAAAACAACCAGTTCCAGAAAACATACAATTTTGTCAGAACCTTCATAGTAATAAGTATCACGTCGGGAGTAGTCTAAAATGACAGGAGATATTTTTTTCATTTAATTTGGTACATGATTTACCAAATATATCATGCAGTATAATTTTCATGAGACTTCATGAACCATCGGAAAATGGTCAAATTCTAGTTGTTCGGACACTGTGCTGTCCCTGGGATGACATGCTTAATCCCTAGTGGGTATTTATGTTGGGCATGTTCAATGTCAGTACAATGTTTCCACGATAGGAAACAAACTTACTTGTTCCTTCCCTAACATTATCATCAATGATGTCGGACACCCGAGTCATTTTCAAGCTGATCAGACTGACAATCGGAAATCTGAACGAAGACTGCCATTTTCTCTGACCTTGATGCTGATAAGCTTCTAAATATAATGAACCAATCAGCATTATTACCAATTCAAACCAGATTATATTCATTTAAGTGTGCTAGTGAGTTCTTCCTGCTGAATACTGTCATGTGAGGTTGACTTGACCTGAATCCTTCAGTATGCAAAAACAGTGACTTAACCCTATTTTGTTAAGGGCATATTCCAACGGCAATATTGTATTTTAGTATACTTTTTACCCTGAAAAGACCCTATTTTGTCTCATGAAAATGAACTTAGTTATTGTGTAATTTGTGTTTAAATTTCCCCAATCATAGTATTTACCAATTCATGATAATTGGTCCTGAAATGACCTAAAAGCAGCATTTCATTGACCTGCACTTATGCTCTTTGTTATGGTAAAATAGAAACTGAATCCATGAATTACTATACACATGTATATATGTGAAATATCAGTTGAATGATAGAAGTGTTTTTGTGCTTTTTAAAATATTTCCGAAAAACACTGAACAATTTATGATAACACAGGTGTAACCCAGTACCAAAAGGCGATTTTTATTTAAGATTAGATTATAAGAAACAGTTTTAATTAATTGATATTTAATTTTCAGAGCAAATTGCTACAAGTCTTGGTCTAGAAATCAAGAGGATGCAGAGAAGGAAACAGTTGCACTACCAATCATCTGGAAGCCAGAGTCCACCCAACATGTCTCCTCAACATGAGGCCTCTTCTTCACACTGCTCCACAGCTATGGAGAGTAGCAGTATATGTGCCTCTCCTTCCTCTTCTTCCACCTCACTATTTAGCGCACTGTCACCCAGTAAAAAGGATGCTCCACTGTTCACTTTCCGCCAGGTCAGTCTCATATGTGAGCGTTTGATCAAGGAGAGGGAAGATCAGGTTCGACAGGAGTACAATACCACACTGACATGTAAACTAGCAGGCAAGTATTGCTCATGTTTATCAATGAAATTGGTTAAAATTGAAAATAAAATAGTATTTCTTAGTTCTTGCCCAAAAACATGTGCATGCTACATATTGCAGAAGGTTTAATATCTAGATATGTATAAGGCTAAAACATAGTGTGTGTGTTCCCTGTTTCTGTCTGAAAAAAATAGGGTCAGCAACTTGGCAGGTAGGCTTTCCCAACGGATATCTTTCTGATTTTTGGCTTGCTTTTGACAAGTACCGCATATTGAGCAGGAAATGGTTAAATAAATATCCACTACAAGCTTTGTTTAAGTGTCGCATTTATGTAGTGTTTTTCTTCCTAAAATTAACAGCTGCCTGTTCCAACAAATATTAAAAAAATGTAGCAGCATGTTCATTGAAAATTTTCCTCATTTTCTTCATTTTGGGGGAAATAAAGCACATTTTGTAGGGGAACTGCTTATATTCGGCTGTAAATCAACATTAAAAAATGACTGGTATGTATTATGAGATGTTCATCATACTGTGTTGGAACATCTATGTTATATGGGATTTTATACTGACCATCTTTCCTTTTTGTTTGTCTTCAATATCAGGACGTTGGGTGATGTTCTTAGTGTTGATGTTGCATGATACATTGCATTTAGTTTCAATTTTACCCTTCTAAGACACCTCTATTCATGTGGACTGATAACCTCGATATGGAGATAGCAATATATTTTCTCATGTTACAATATACATCTCATCTCAGGACTCACAATATTATACATTTCACTGGTTTTCATAATTGGAACTGAATGATACAACAAACCCTAGCTATGTATATACCTACTCTAGAATTTTTGTGCCTAGATTTTTATTGACATTTATAATAGTGATATGCACTGCTAAAGTCAGTACTCCTGCTCTATATAAGCATGGTAAAAATATTTTCAAATTAAGAAGGTCTTGCCTACCGTATGTTTTCTGAGGATGATAGCAGAAACACAATGTTTTGGTCTTAGTTATCTGTTAACAACAACCGTTGGCTATCTGTTTCTACACCGTAATCCCTCAATACATGTATCAATATACAAGCATGTATTTACCTAGCTGCGGGAACCGTAGCTCCTAGGCCCTTTTTTTTTCTTTTTATTATTATTGTTATCGGACCATAGACCAATGGTCGATAACAATAAAAATGAAAAAAATGAAAAAATCGGGCCTAGAAGCTACGGTTCCCGCAGCTAGTATTTACCTTGGTATGTTGACTGCATGTGTTTGGTGCAGTGTTACTGCATGTGTTTGGTGCAGTGTTGCTGTGTTATGGGGAAGTGAGGCGTCGAGTGACACATTCTTAAGATGATGACGTTCAGACACATATTTGCTGCTTTGATATGTACACTAGTACTAGGTAGGATCAACAGATTCAACCAATACTACTATAAAATGTTACCAAATTTCAGCCTTATGTTAAATATAAGAACATATTTTTCATTCCATAACAATACTTTTGTCTTTCAGAACAATACGAGGCTTTCCTGAAGTTCAACCATGACCAGATTCACAAGAAGTTTGGAAATGCACCTGTTAGCTGTATGTATAATGTGTCATATTTGAATAAACATTTTATCAACTTAAAAAAATAGATTAGTAGTGTAGCACTACACCAAATAATTGATATCAATACACGATGCTGCATTTCAAAATATTGTATTGGGGGATATTTCAGTGATTCATTTGTTATAGTAAGGAGATTGGTTTGGTTGTCTTATCAAATAAAAACAATTGAAATGAGGGATAGTCCCTGAAATTAAGTAAAGTTCCCCATTTTTGTAAAGACTATAAATCATTAAGTAAACATTTCAAGCTCGTATATAATGTAAAGAAGATGATGTCTGTGATGCACTTATTGTCTCCTAATTAATTCCATAATATTTATTAGCCTTGCTGCATATTTTGTTCAGTTACATCTGGTTCAGATCAATGATTAAAACTACAGATATTAATATTATTGATTAAAGTAATAATTTCATATTTTTCCACAGATGTGTCTTGATGTGGAGTGGATGGTAGCTGAATTGTCCGTGTCCTTTTTCTGCTTGCAAGAAGAATTTGAAAGAATGATGAACATTTTTATGTTGAATATTTGTAACTTTAACGTAGTGCATGTAAAGGAAAATAATGCACTTGTTAGCCTTGCATGCTTGGGAAGGGATGAACAAATAGATTGGAGGCAAGTGCATTTATTGAATTCACTGAATTGAACGGCATTATTCATTAATGGATTTTTTTGTAGGAAATTCATTGTGTTGTGAAAAACGCTCATAATGAAAAAAGGGATGAGGTAGTATGCGTATCACTGGATAAACTTGTGCCACTGCCTGTTATAAAGTGTTTTGAGTTGCCGTTACAACAGCAATATGTTGTGACTGCTGGCCAGTGTTTCTGGAGGGACAATTAGTCACAAGTATAGACTGATACCACGTCCATGTGTGTTCGCAAATCAGACCTCTGGATCTATAGGATAACCTTACAATTACGCGGGTCTATATACTCTACCAAAGTCAGGTGGAGCCATCTCAAGTGTACTGTGTACTTTATTGTGTTTTATTGATCAGTGTTGGATTGTGTGATGGGACTACTATAGCTACGTGGTGGTACTTTTACAGCGAGTGGTAGCTAGGCCAATCTACACCTCCCTGCTTCTGTTTAGACACCTGTGTAAATATATATACCACTTTGTAATACAATAATAATAACTGTACATACATAGCCATAGTTATTATGCTGCATGTAAAACAGTAGTCCGCAGTTGATACAGATAGACAGATGTCTTCTGAACACTAGGAATATATGGTATAAGTTATTTGATTGGGAGAAATGAGGTGAGGAAGGATTGATCAGTGAATTGCCTTTGTATGGGTGTCTGGGCACAAATATTGTTGCTTTGGATGCCTTTTCAATCATTCAGTTTAATTTGTATCTTGTTTGCATTAATTATAATATTTCTACACTTTTAAGTTATATTTCATTTTAATTATTATTTAAGAGTTTTAGTTTAGCAAACACAAGTAGTGTTTTATTTTATTCCAAAGGGAAACGACTGTTTTCATACCATTATCAGGCAGTAGACTTATAATTGTGTAAATAAATCTTATTGTTGGACATAACTAAAATTGCAAATAAAATCTGATTCACACATGTTTTAGCAGAGTTTTTTGCCCAAATTACCAACTTTATACACCAATCGTGATCAATGCACGCAACTGGCTAAAATAAATATCCCCCCTGCATCCTCCTAGAGCCTATAACAATACGATATTGTGTTCCCTAATAATGTAATTAACAGTCAATAAAATCAAGAGGCCCATATAGGACTTGTGTTGTTCACCTGATTTGTTATGACTTCTTTAATAATGAATATAAGGTTAAAGATCCTTTATCTTTGTAAGTGACATACTGAATATGGTAATGCTGGACTTCTTGCTTCTTCAGATGTTATCACTTCTGATATAATCAATTTAACATGCCCGACCTCTGGTAACCTTGATAGTAAATTGAACTCCTTTACTTTCACAAGCTATATATACATGTACATATACATAATAATGAATTTTTGACTCCTACTTCAATTGATTTGAAGAAGTTTGCTGTTTTTTTATTACAAACAAAATGTACATGTATTGATCCCTGTGACCATAAAGGTAGTCGAAGCAATTTTCTTAAATAAAATTGACAGCCTGTCATGATCACTACTAGCAAGTAACAACATTACTGTAGGCAATATGGTTTAAAATGAATCTTGATTTCCTCTCTAGGACCCCACCTACTGCCCCAAGCTGGGTCACACCTCCATATGTGCAGCATTAGAGAAGTCCCCATTGCTCCAATGATGCTCTATATGTTCAAACATGTCGATCCGTTCTGGACTAGTAGCTTTAGTCTTTAAATGAAAACAATGACCGGCATATGGACGACAGATGTTTCTCATTGGTTGTAGCATATAGGAGTTTCTTCCCTTTATTCGCATCCTGAGGCCATTTTACTGAAACTTGTCTGAGGTCTACTAATTTGAATAGAAGCAGTGCGTTGCGATGGAAACATACATTAATGCATACGAACAATATTTCACTTTGTATGCTTATTTTTAAGGTCAATGGAAAACTACTAACACACTTCCATGTAAGACGATCAAACGTAGATAACACTCAGTTCTAAAGTATTGCAGAAGATAAGACAAGTGGCTTAAATCTAACGATCCACCAACATGAAGCTGCTGTTGTATACCATTACTGCCGTCTGTTGTAAGTTTTAACAATACCACATTTGTTGTACATTAGTCGTTAGGTATTGTTAATGCTAAACTGGTATCGGTCAATGTCAGTGAGTTATACATTACAGTGCTGGCTGTAAGTGAGGCATGTACCAGCGAGCACAGTTGTTCGACCACTAGATGTAGCGACGGTTATCATCAGCACTGTAACACCCAAACGGAGACATGTTATTGTAAACCTACAGGTAAGCTCCCTGTACTAGCACAAACCATCCTCTCTGGGTCGTACCTAAATGTAGTAGTAATATTATACCCGGACCAATATCGTCAGAATTAACGTTGACACAGCTGGGTCGAACCCACAACACGTCTAGCTAACGTCACTCACTTTGTAGATGCATATCAATATTCTTTATACCAAACTGTCAATTCCAAAAATGTTCGTTCATTTTTCATAAAATGTATACTAGATGCACTTTTCATTTCTATTACAAGTTGATATTTTGGGCGCGTGGTTCTATAAATAAAACGCGAAATACCTTCAGGGTTACGTAGGCCCTTGAACTGGCGTAACTGTACTCTGAAAGGGACCCTTCGGTATTTTGGCTAATAGTTGGGAATAAACGATCAATATCGACAGAGAAGAAGACATATTTCAAATATTTTGGAGTCAAAACAGGGTTATGATTAAATTTCTTCTCCAAACTAGCATGAGTTTTGATAAAATATACTTTCTAAAATGATATCCAAATAAATAGCGCAATACGTAAATCGGGAAAGTTTTGTTTTGGTCATTATTTTTACCTTTAAATTGGCCATGTAACGATTATCAGCAGCCATCAAAGCTTACATACAGTTAAATTGCCATAAAAGTATTTTCAAATGAAAAATGTATACATAAAAGTACTTCTTTGCATTGAATGACAATTTCTTGTGCCGTTTTGCCATAAGAGTGTCCCGATTTAGGCACAGTGACGGTAGGATGAACCAAAAAGTACGGACGGTTCTCGCACACAATCGAGTGTGTATGGACAGTTGTACACACAGGCGCCGAACAGGTCTAGGACGGCCCACACCTAACAGCTGAGAATAAGCCCACACGAACACATGTCTAGGGCGGAGACTGTCATGTTCGGATGGCCTCCATACAGACAAGTCTTGGACGACCTCACAGTGATATGTACGTCCGTCCGTCCGCGCACAGACATGTCTAGGACGAACACACATTGACATAAACAGGCGCCCGCATCCATACAGGTCAAGAACGAACCTATATATATATTATATACGGACGGTCTCCACACAACCAAACACGTTTAGAACAAACCTACACATGAACGGACGGTCTCCTCACAAACATGTTCAGAACAAACACACATGTACGGACGGTCTGCACACAAACATGTTCAGAACAAACACACATGTACGGACGGTCTCCATCCAAACATGTATACAACAAACACACATGTACAGACGATCTTAACCACAAACATGTATAGATCAAACACACATGTACGGACGGTCTCCATACAAACATGTATAGAACAAACACACATGTACGGACGGTCTCCACACAAACACGTATACAACAAACACACATGTACAGACGATCTTAACCACAAACATGTATAGATCAAACACACATGTACGGACGGTCTCCATACAAACATGTATAGAACAAACCCACATGTACGGACGGTCTCCAAACAAACACACATGTACGGACGGTCTTTATCCAAACATGTATACAACAAACACACATGTACAGACGATCTTAACCACAAACATGTATAGATCAAACACACATGTACGGACGGTCTCCATACAAACATGTATAGAACAAACACACATGTACGGACGGTCTCCAAACAAACACACATGTACGGACGGTCTGCACACAAACACACATGTACGGACGGTCTCCATCCAAACATGTATACAACAAACACACATGTACAGACGATCTTAACCACAAACATGTATAGATCAAACACACATGTACGGACGGTCTCCATACAAACATGTATACAACAAACACACATGTACGGACGGTCTCCATACAAACATGTATGGAATAAACATACATGTACGGACGTCCCCACACAAACATGTATAGAATAAACATATATGTACGGACGTCCCCACACAAACACACATGTACGGACGTCCAAACACAAACATTTATAGATCAAACACACATGTACGGACTATCTCCACACAAACACGTATACAACAAACACACATGTACGGACGGTCTCCACACAAACACGTATACAACAAACCCCCACATGTACGGACGGTTTCCGCACAAACACGTATAGAACAAACACACATGTACGGACGGTCTTCACACAACCACACACGTATACAACAAACACACATGTACGGACGGTCTCCACACAAACACGTATACAACAAACCCCCACATGTACGGACGGTCTCCTCACAAAAATGTATAGAACAAACACACTTGTACGGACGGTTTCCGCACAAACACGTATAGAAAAAACACACATGTACGGACGGTCTTCACACAACCACACACGTATACAACAAACCTAAATGTACGGACGGTCTTCACACAAACACGTATACAGCAAACACACATGTACGGACGGTCTCATCACAAACACGTATAGAACAAACACACATGTACGTGAACTTCACTTGATCAACAGTAAACTAAAAGTTTTGTCGAACCTTCATTACACTTTCTTAGATCAGAGTGAATACAATGTTATTCGTGTTCTGGTCAATAACGTGTTCCTCGGACTTCCCTTTTTCATTGTACATTCACCCGTTAGCATAGAGTTATATTTCGGAAGGGAGATAACGTTTCCTATTTATGGGCCTCAACTTATTTAATTCTCAGACATTTCAGGACTCTAATTCTCGAAACCATAGAACGCGTGAAACAGTATCGATTGCCATATTTACATTTTGTTTTTGTTACAGATGTTTGTAATGATGATGCTGATTGTCCTTCCGGTCACATGTCAGGCTGTGAGCCGTTCGGAGCTCTCTGCCAGCATCATAAGTGTCAATGTCATCATAACTAAGATACGTGATCAGCGTACTGTCAGAGGCGAACCAAGCCTCGTTCGTTGTACACTCTAATTTGGCATTAAACTTCTGGAAAATGATTCTAGTATTGTCATAGCGTCAGGAATCTGTTGGCAAACAAAGATACTATACTTAAATCATTACTAACATGTATGTCGACATAATATACAAATAACAATGACCACCCAACACTTCCGTCTGCATTGCTCAATTAACGATGCCTTCCCATACTTCCGTCTGTGTTGCTCATTTAGAACAATGACCACCCCATACTTCCGTCTGTGTTGCTCATTTAGAACAATGACCACCCTACACTTCCGTCTGCATTGCTCAATTAACGATGCCTTCCCATACTTCCGTCTGTGTTGCTCACTTAAAACAATGGCCACCCCATACTTTAGTCTGTGTTGCTCAATTAACGATGCCTTCCCATACTTTAGTCTGTGTTGCTCATTTAGAACAATGACCACCCCATACTTTAGTCTGTGTTGCGCATTTAGAACAATGACCACCCTACCCTTCCGTCTGCATTGCTCAATTAACGATGCCTTCCCATACTTTAGTCTGTGTTGCTCAATTAACGATGCCTTCCAATACTTCCGTCTGTGTTGCTAACTTAAATCAATGGCCACCCCATACTTTAGTCTTCGTTTCTCATTTAGAACAATGACCACCCCATACTTTAGTCTGTTTTGCTCATTTAGAACAATGACCACCCCACACTTCCGTCTGCATTGCCCAATTAACGATGCCTTCCCATACTTGAGTCTGTGTTGCTCATTTAGAACAATGAACACCCCATACTTTAGTCTATGTTGCTCATTTAGAACAATGACCACCCCATACTTTAGTCTGTGTTGCTCATTTAGAACAATGACCACCCCATACTTTAGTCTGTGTTGCTCATTTAGAACAATGACCTCCCCATACTTTAGTCTGCGTTGCTCATTTAGAACAATGACCACCCCATACTCCCGTCTGCATTGCTCAATTAACGATGTCTTTCCTTACTTCCGTCTGTGTTGCTCATTTAAAACAATG